TCTTAAAGTTAAGCCCAAAATTAAAGTGATCTAATAAGGAATTAAGTAATTGAGTTTTAAGCATCTAAATAAAGTGTGGGCCGGACTATATGTGTAGAGACCGGATCCATTAGGGTTTGTATTGACGATGAGTCGAATACATATGGAAATATATAAAGGGTTATGGTCCACAATTCATGTGTGATTTTCTTATTCTTTGTGCCATCCCATCAATACAAGAATACAAGAGAAAGCATATGAAAAAGAATATCCCTAAACCCACAATCAAGAATCAAGAAGGAGGTTTGAAGCAATCAAACTGAAGATTTACAGATCAAGATCCAAGATCCCTTATTCAAGTCAGAAATCAATTGATTAAGGTACGTTCCGTATTAATTCAGTTTCTTGATGGTTTGACAAGAAGATCTTGACAAGTTCATAAAGTTTAAATTTTAATAAATTTCCAACATTACATACTCATTTAAATATTCAAGTTCTTGTAACATTCCTTTAAACCGCAAGACTTCCTTCATAACTTCTGTAGCATGCAACAACATACTCTGATTAAGTGGTTGAAAGGGCCACAATGTGCTGCAACTATGATTTTCATGATATACAAGGATCACATAAGAAGAAACAAAATTTCTCTTATGATCCTATCACCTGCATAATCACAACCACCGTACCTTTTTACTTGAAAATCAACTTTAAATTTTGAAGTCCATCATCTACTTCAAAGTTGCCCAATATTCAAGCACAGTGTTGGCCATATATCTACAAAGCATGGTGATTATGTAGGCAGAGGTGGTCGGGGTGTGCATGTGGTGTGACTGCGAAGGGCTTCAGCATTGTAGAGGCATCAAAATTTTTTTAGTTATATATAATAATTTCAAATTTTAAAATTCTTATTATAATGTTAGTTAAAGGACACAATATTTTTGAAAAAAAGAGATTGCAGCAGAAAAATAATGACTCTATTTCGCGTGGGTTATCGCTAACAATTAAAACTTTTTGTATGTCAACAGACTCTTATTTAACATTATTGTCCTAATTGTGTATCGTATCAAGACATTTTTTTAGAGCAAGGAAAATGACTCGCGTGGTTTAGGCTCCTTCGTAGTTAATTTCAATATGTTGTGCTTAACTATTTCTCTAATTTTTAACTATCTTGCTTTAAAAAAATATATTTTAAACATCTATTATATTAGCTCAATCTCAAACGCCCAATTAGCTTCACTAATCAATTGCCTATCCAACAAGACAATAAGTAGTCCAAAATCGAAATGATAAAAATAAAGAGTGAAAAGCTAACCTCAAATTACTGTTCTTGATTTCCTTCACTCTCACCCTTTAACTCATGAAAAACAGTTAAATAGAGAAAAGAAGAAGCTCTACCATCTGTCTTTGTTACTTTCTCTACAATAATACAGTATACATCATAACGTCGCCATTTTATTGATACTGATTGTCTACTTGTTAATTGTTCTTTCATGATATTTTTTGTTCTAGAAGGGTAAATTTTTATTACATGAAAAGAGGCACCATTTTAAGTTTTGTTTTTTTTTGGTGCATGTAAGTTTTTTTAAGTACATAAAATGGGCATCATTTTTAAAATGTCGTATAGGGCACCCAAAATTTTAGGGACGGACCCTGTATGTAGGCCATATCATGCCTTATATACATCATAGTGTACATCATTGATCCTACAACATAGGAAATGAGACCCTTTAATTTGATCTGCTTCTTGAGTAGAAGAACCTTTTTTATTGAATGTAAAGTGGCTTGCCAAACGAATTGAAGTCACTTTAGCTTGAGACATCAAAGTTTGGTTAACATTTTATGGATATAAGAAGTTTGTTTCAAGGCAAGCACACATTGTTCTCTATTTTTTTTTTAATTATTATATCAATGCCAAGTATTTTTGTTGCATTATTTAAAAAAACTTCATGCTAACATGTAAAAAAACACTCTCCAAGTTCATCATGCAAAAAGGTTAGTTTACGGCCATGCTCAAGTTCCCCATCAAATCGAGCAAATATTGCCTGCAGAAGAGAGAAAATAATATTAAATTTTTAATGATGATTCTAGGGTTTTGCAGAATGAAAAAGTAAAACAAAATATTGAAAAAACAAAATATATGTATATATACTACTAAAAATCAGTTTTTCACTTACGGATAATTACCAATGAATTGTATCTGTTGATAATCAGAATCGAATTATCTGTTGGTAAAAGTATTAGACTTTTAACTACGAAAATCATCAACAAAATTTTCGTTGGTCAAAGTGGCAACTCTTTACCAACGGATATTCCATGCCTAATGTTGTGGTTTAATATGCTTACTATTTATCAACAAGATTCCCGTAGGCACTGGCGGACACAAGGGGGGCTGGGGGGGCACATGCCCCCAACTTTGTTTTGCTTTTTTTTTTCTATGTTTTGTTTCAATTTTTGAAATTATTATAAAATGTGAAACGAAATCGAAATATTGTATTCTTAATATCATTTCAAAGTGCTCACAATCTAGTTTTTTATATCGTTAACGGCGTGTGAAACGACCAATCGTAGCAAATGTTACGACTTGTCAAAGTAGGCGGTTTAAAATTAGTATTTTGAGAATTTCGATAATATGCTAACTTTAAAAATTCTCTGACGGTCTTACGGTAGTCGAATCTACAAATCGCTTATATCATCTCAAAACTCGTTTCGAGAACTACATTATATGCATATTGAATAGTTCAAACAGATATCGAAAATAGTTAAAAATGCGTCAAACGTACGTCTTAAAAAGAGGCGTCTACCTCGCATTTTTTTAAAAATTTTAATTATTTTATTAATATTTATTATTTCAGTGATACACATTTCTTAATGTAATTTGCATTATTTTATTAGAAGATTTATATAGGATATGACATCAAAAATTTTCGAAATTTTACATCCGGAAAAGTCATATTTCATGTAAATTTTCGGATGCAAAATTACATGGGGTATGATTTTTTTTGAATGTAAATTTCGATTGAAAAATTTCTCTTAACTTTTTTACAAGTTCGATTGTGCCCCACCAACTTTAATTGTCTGCGTCCGCCCCTGCCCGTAGGTGATGTAATTCAATTTTATTTTTAATTTTTTTTTACAAAAATGTGTTAACCTTTCACCTAAAGATTTTTTTTATGGGTGAAGAATAGTTTATACTACCAACGAAATTGACGTTACTAATATTAATCCATAGGTGAAGGGTAATTAATTAATTTTTTTAAAAAATGTAGCCTCTTTACCAACGAAAATTCCGTATGTGAAGATTAATTTATATTACTATGGAAAATCCCTTGATGATATTAATTAATTTTAATAATGTCAAACCAAATGAATTTTTATCGCACATCGAAACTTCACACCAAAAGTTTTGGAGATGACTTCTATAAATTAGTGGTCTAATAAATGATTAAACAACTTTTTAGATATTTCAATTCAGTTGGCTAAAAGTTAAATTTTTTTATAATTATTGAACAATAACAAAAAATAAAAAAATATTTTTTTTTGCCATGCCTCGTACCTATACTGCTATTTACAACACTATTTTTTTACCAATTGTAATGATAGACATTTAAAACGGAAAATCAGTTGGTAATGGTTAAATTTTTTACCAACGGAATTTTCGTTGGTAAAATGTTCAACAGAAAATTCGTTGGTAAAAGATTTAATCTCAACCTACGACATGATCTGGTAACTATCAGCAACCTCAAATTAACAACGGATTTGTGGTTGTTAATATTCTATTGGTAAAGAGTAATATCAACATATATCGTGGTTTTGGAAACGGAAAATCCAAAAATCTTGTGGGTGAATGATAGATAAAAAGAGACAAAATACATATTAAGACTTTTTTTTTGTGAAGTCTTCCAAGATCTAGTGTGTGAATAAGAGATGATATTTTAATTTTGGATAATCAGCAAATAATGTCCCCACCTTTCACTATTATTGTGAAAAATATTCATACTTTTTATTTTTTGGCATTTTAATCATTATTTTCACCTTTTATTGCACAAAATGAATTTTTCATCCATTTTCTCAATTAAAAATTGTGAAATGACTAATATATCATTTTCTTTAAATAAAAAAAAATTAATCGTAAGCATTAAAAAGTGCAAATGAGTTCCAAATAAATTATTAAAAGGATAATTAGTATGTATTTTTTATTTTTTGGCATTTTCACTCTTAATTATACATTTGATTGCGCAGACTATCATTTCCATCAAATTTCATCAAATTTTTCAATAAAAAATTCTGAACTGATGAATATACCCTTTTATTTAATTGAAAAAAGAAAATTGGAAAGAATAATTTTTAAATTTCTAATTCTTTAATAATTTGGGATTCATTTGCATTTTTTAATAAATTTTTAATTAGGACACTTTTGCACCTTTTTAAAAAAAAAAAACACTAATTTATAATTTTTTAATAATTTATTTGTGGCTAGTTTAGCGTGTGTGTGTGTGCAAGTCTCTTCACGTGTGGAGAATTTTAATTATCATCTGACCCCTCCATCCTTCACATAGACACAATCGGAATTCATCCCATGGTCAATTCAGTGCAATGGAAATAAGTTTAGCGACGATTGGGAATATGAGCTGTACAGTTCAGTGAATTAAACATTTATTAACTCCTCTTTCTGTTAAAACAAAAAATCACTTTATTTTCTTCTGTTTTGGATCGTGTATTTGTTTTCGTTCATGTCTATTTTTAGTGGTCATTCTTTTAGCCGTGGTGGCACTTTTTCTCTCTTTCGAGAGTTTGTGTTTGGAGGTTCTCCTCCTTGTAACCACGTTTTTTGCGTCTTTTATGAAATGTCTTTTATCAAAAAAAAAAAATCACTTTTTTTCGTCGCAAAAAAAAAAACCAAAAAAGGTTGTTGACTACGACTCGCTATAAAATCAACAAAATTCCCTTCCACCTCTTTATTGTTTAAGCTGTTCGTACGCTAAACCCTAACCTGTAGATTTAGAAACATACATGGGTTGCTCTGCTTCAGTTCCTGGTAAATTAAACCCATTCTAACTTGAATCAATTGACCTAAATTTTCCCCTGATATAGTGAATTGATCTTAATTGAGCTCCTATTTATCTAATAAGATTTGACTAGTGGACCCTTTTGGGAATTGTTTATTTGATGAAGGGTTTGGTTTATTTTTTAATTTTAGGTTTCTGTTCAATTTTCCGTGTGTAGATAGAAATTTGGGGCGGATAGGCGGACTTAATCCAGAGAATGGAGGGGCAAATGATGCTAAGAACCTGCGGGTGAAGGTACATTTCTGCACTGTTTTCCTCGTGTTATTATGCTGAAACTTACAGAAAAAGTAGGTAATTGTGTATGATGAATTGTTTGATTGCTTCGTGCTTGTCTCTTTTAGAAATTTTCGCATGGACGTTATGAGTTACATATTGCAGTACTTTAGCTTTGCAAATTTTCATTTCTTTTCTCCTTTTTCCTGTAACTCTTATATTTTTTGTATTAAGTTTTGTTGATGTAAGCTTCCTATTTTTCCTCTTTGGTCAACCGCTTATGAATTACTTCAGAATGCGTGCATAATTCTCAGCACAGTAGGCATTAGCTTGAAAGTCCTTATTATTACAGTCTCATGATCCTCAGTATTTTATTCTCGAGTCCATTTGGATTTCACATTTTGAGTTTCTGGACTTTCTATTGCTAATGAGAATATAGACTTTATCTGAGCCTTTTTTATCCCCACCATGTGATTTTTTGGATATTTGGTATTTACAGTCTGTACTGTTAGGGTGTTCATAAATATACACATTTATTACTTGAATTGGTCCTCAAAGGAAGGAGAGATGGTCTATTCGGTGCAAAAACCGGATTCCTGGTGCTTATAGTTATTTTTGATTTAACATGGGAGGCAGACCATAGATGGGTTTTCCATTTTTCATTTTTAAATCTTCCCTCACTGGCCAGACGTGAATAGTATATTTTCCTATGTCCTATATCCTGGGTTTATTGTTTGCTGTTGTAACCCACGAAAGATTCATAATATTACCACTTTTTTCACCACTGCTGACTTTAAATATTGAATTGCAAAGTGAAACTTTCAGCAAACTGGATTTTGATTTTTCTTTTTGAGTCCTCTCCTTTGTTCCCAGTTATTCCTTGATTATTGTTTACTTTTTGTTGTGATACAATCCACAAGTATTACTGTCAACTATGAGGAAAACAACACCGTCAAGGATTGACTCTAATAAAGCTAATTATCAACTACTTGGGGTGGTCAATGCTTTAAAAGCAGTTTGATATGAACACATTCGTTCTTGAATTAAATGCTGTAATTTTGAATCTAACAAAGGAGCTAATGCGAAAAAGCAATTCAAATGCATAACGCATTATCATACCGTTTACATAGAAAGTAGTTTCTCAAAATCAAGCAAAAATTATGGGATGAAGGGAGTATTTTATTGTTGGCATATGAGTTAAAACAGAAAACAGAGGACTCGTGGAATAATTCAAATGTATAACACAGTTTTGAGGCACGCCAAGCATTACGTTCTATGAATGCTAGAATTTCAAGAAAAATGTATTCTCCAGCAAGATGGGTAGACAAATGAATTTTATTTTTTTCAAAAATAAAATTATAGAAGCCTCAATAATATTGGAGCAAAAGATGGGGTCTAAATAAAGGAAAAAAGACAATTAATGCAATAGGATTGGTAAAGAAGCCTCTAAAGGTAACTGTGTAAAATCTCAATTTATATTATAATTGTCAAGGATGCGACGTATCAGTTTAAGAAGGCTTATTTGATATGCCTGTCATTCTTTCTAGAGTTTCATCTTTATGGAGCTTCGCATAGAAATTATTGAAAAGTTATATGCTTTGCTACTAATGTGATTAGGAAGTTAAACTAGGATAATTTTATTGCTATATTTTAAATCTCTATCTGTTCTATTGCTCGCAAGCTGATTATCACATTAAAAATAAATGAAACAAGTGCAGTTTGTGCATTTAAAAGAGAGAGAAATACAACAGTGTTTCAAGATAATGAACTGCCACTCTGAGGGTTTTCAGACATGGTTTCCAAATTGATGGTCCAGTAAGCATGACCAATGGAGGGTGTAATACTTGGGTATGAGTTGGAAACATCGCATTAACGACTCTTACCAGGCTCATGAACATCAGTATTGAAAGGTAATGTCCTGGAAGTGAATTGTGCAGGTTGCTGCACAGTGTTGTGTACTATCCCAATCATGCTGCATCATATCCTCTTATTGGACAGCATCGATGTCAAGGTGCTCGTGAGCATGAGCTCAAAAGATGATCATTTAATATTCAGATCCTTTTATGAGGCCCTGATGTGCTGCATGTAGAGCTCAGCTTATAGGATTTTGCTTTGGATGTTGTGTGGTGTAATCACAATCATTTCGAAGCCCTTTATTAGCATGGATATTATCGACACCTTTTGTTATGCTAATGCTTTCCAGTTCCTTAGATTGTTTATACAACATAAAGTGATATTTTTTATATCGCAATCAAGACATAGGATTTAAATCTTTCCTTGTTCTATTATTCTTCACGACCCCCAAAATAAAAATATAGAGAAAAAGATTTTCCGTTTATGTGAACTAATCATCTTGTTCTATCAATGTGTGCAGCTTGTGGTATTAGGTAGTTCTGGGGTCGGGAAAAGCTGTATTGTTCTCCGTTTTGTTCGTGGACAGTTTGATCCAACATCCAAGGTAATGATGATATGACAACAAGTATGCATTTGTATAGCCGACCTCGAAGTTAATGGAAATGAGGTTTAGTTGCTCTTGCTCTTGCTCTTGCTCTTCTTCTTCTTGTTGTTACTCATTAGCCATTGTCAAATAATGGACCTTTTGAAATTAATATGGTTGTAAATTAGTAAATGATATTAATTATCAAATTCAATATTAATTCAATACATTCAGACATTTTCATCAGAATTTGAGATGAAATGTTCTGTTTGCACTCAAATAGTGTTTATTCATTAAATTCAAAAATTTTCATCCAAATTTGAGCTCAAATAGCTTTCTGTTATTTTATTAGTTAAAACAAGCATAATTAGCTTTTCGATCTTTCGACACTTTAAAACTCTACCTGTTACTGTTTGTCAAGCATAAAATTACTAAGTACAGTTATCCAAACGTACATAATTAGAAAATTACTTATACTTATTTACTTACAGGTAAACTTGCTTTAAAGTGATAAATGCTCAATATAGCATTTGAATAACATCTTTTTCTACCCAGAAGGAAAACAGTTTATGTTTCCGTCACCAGTCTATTATCGAATTCAGAATCTCACTTCTCCAAAGTATCCAACATGAAGTTGGATAAATTTATTGATAATTGAATTGTTTGATGCTTTCAGGTAACTGTTGGAGCTTCTTTCTTGTCACAGACCATTGCCTTGCAGGATTCAACTACGGTGAAGTTTGAAATATGGGACACAGCTGGACAAGAAAGGTAATCAATTATTGGTCTAGATTTGATATTCCAAGAGTCATTTCTATCTTTCCCAATTATGTGGATGGAATTTATTTGCCAAAATCCACCCACAAATCCTGAGCCGAGTTCTCTCTGTTTGTTTAATGAAGACTTACCATGACAAGGAAGCCTATATTTTTTTCAAGGTATGCAGCACTAGCACCACTCTATTATCGAGGAGCTGCAGTGGCAATTGTTGTGTATGATATAACTAATTCTGAATCCTTTGCCAAAGCACAGTACTGGATCAAGGTATATTTGAGGGACCACAATTGTACCTTTTCAATTTCATTGCGAGGCTGAAACTTGTAGTTAGCAGCAGCAACATTATTGCTGTAATTATGATTAAGCATCAATGTTGATGTTATCAATATCATAGGGAAGAATGCCATTGGTAGCATGCTCACGAGTCTCTGAATCTTGCGCATTAATGACAGGCTATGAGTGCTTGGTTATATTCCCAATGGGCATTCCTGGGCCCGGATCCTCAGAAACATGAATGTTAAATATGTATACCAAAATATTTCCGTTTATGTTAGTTGATCTCTTTCTTGCTGAAGTCATTATTTACAATGCAGGAATTACGTAAACATGGGAGCCCTGAAATAGTCATGGCTTTGGTCGGTAATAAAGCTGATCTCCATGAAAAACGAGAAGTACCTGTTCAAGTGAGCAATATATTCTGTAATGCTTTCTTCCTTTGCAAATCTTAGCCGATTTATTCAAAAGTAACAAATTTCCTTTTCTTTTTCAAAGGATGGAATTGACTGTGCTGAAAAGAATGGGATGTTCTTTATAGAGACATCCGCTAAGACAGCAGATAATATAAACCAGCTATTTGAGGTACATTCTGAAATTACAGTCTTGAAGTGTAATCACGTCCATTTGCCTGTAGCCGTCTGTAAAATTCCGTAAACAACTGTGCTTAGAAAGATCGTTCTCATTGTTGCTTATAGTTGTGATGAATACAATAACCAAAAATGTTAGCCGAAATAGAGAATGGTCCAGAATTATGGAGTCTCATGTCTAGTATCTCTCAAACCACCAGGAAATGGCCTACAATTGTTTTATTTGTTTCTTTTTAGTTCGAACAAGAAGGTTTTATTGAACACGTGAATAAAACAGGCTTCGTAGATTGGTATGACAAGCTTGTTATTAAATAAAGAAAGCCCATGGATCAAACTTCTTAATAGGTGAAACTATCCCTGGATTGCATCTAGACTCATCCCACCGTGTAAGCTAATCCAGTAACTGACAATAAGTGGGAGGTCAGAAATCCCATGTTTTAGGAGATCACAAACTATGTTTTCTTCGCTGTATGAGCTTATACAGAGCCCAACTCCTTAATAAGGGGAGGGAAGCTTTTTTCCGCACAATTCCTTATTTCCTATGACATCTTGTTTTTCAATTGAATGATAACTATGGAATATTTAGCTAGCGAGCTTTATTAGAATAATCGTCAGTTTCTTGACTAGAATATGATTTCATGGTGGAGGTGACGTCTCTCTCTTTTTGGATGGTTTGATTTGTCAGGAAATAGCCAAGAGACTCCCACGCCCGGCCTCTTCCTGATTTTGAAACGTTGAGAATGAAGTTGTGCACTAGATATTGCTGGATGTACTTGTACTGTATTATAATGTATATTACTTTCAGGACTGCAATTGTAGTACCTACTGTGTTTCTGTTGGAGCTCTATCATAATTTTTCAAAAACTTCGGCACATGTATGTTTACAGCCTGTCATATTCAAAAATGATACTCGAAAATTTCGTCATATATTGATGCGTCTAAACTTGATAATTATGTTTATATGTATGGTGTAACAACTCAAATTTTCGTAAACCTTGGAGTGTTATCATAAAATTCACTTTTCTTTACATTAAATACGGAACGATAAAAATAAAATTCTTTAATGATAAATAATAATAATTTGAACTTTAAATATAATCAACTAACAATTAAATATACGTGTCCTTGAATGCGAATGAAAACTAATTAATTGATATAGAAGTTTAATGCATTTCGTTTTTCGAATCCTCTTAGCAGTTCGCGTCACCATCCCGTCACAATTTTAATCGACTCAAATTAATATGTAAATTATTGTAAGAGTGAGTATTTAAAGAAAAAAATATATAGTAAGATATGTGCAGTTTTCATAGACAAATATATAATAATAAAATAGGCACTTCATACCACATTTCTTATGGAGATATAGCTACTAATTCGCTCTGTGGCATCAGTAGTATTTTGAATTCTCGAAAGATTTCACATTTCGTTATAAAGAATCTAATAGGACTCACATTTCGTTAGGTTGAACCCGAATGTCCATTGGTAATTCATGCTTAAATTACTGAATATAAAAGTATACGGAAACAAACAATTTGCACAAAAGTATCTCACCTCGTTAGATCAAATGAAATTTTGAAAGAAATATGAATTCACGTTTCAAATCCTTTTCCTAAATCTCTCTGCCATCGCATTCAATTTGTGGGTAGTATTTATTTTTGTGGTGAATAATGAGACCTTTGCATGGTATTTATAATTGAAATAATTGAGTTTTGAAACAATTGAAAATTTGAAATAGAGGAGCCGTGTTCCATTAAAATTGGACATAATAGGTTTCAGTATGTAACTTTAACTATCAAATCACAATTATCAAATTGGGTTATTGGCTACATAGGACACGCATGGACCAATTTGTTAATTGGTTTCATTGAATTGGAATATTAATATAAGAATTGAAAGAATGAATAGTGTTTAATTACCATTAAACTTTATCCAAATCAATGTAGGATTACAATTAACGGTCAACATTTATCTTACACGAATCATGACTCTCGTAAAAATCTAAATTATAAACCAATTTTAAAGAAATTACCAATCAAAATAACTTCTTTGGACATCAATATCTTGAACATAACTTATCCGAATTGACTTTTTCTCAAACCTAAAATTCATGATTTAGTGGGTGTTTGGTGGGGATTAAAATTAGATTTTTAGTAGATTGTGATAGAAGTTTTTGAAATGTGTGGTTGAAAAGTTGTGGGATCCACAAACGATTTGGTTAATATTGATTGTTTGGGGCCTATCCGAATTGACTTTTTCTCAAACCTAAAATTCATGATTTAGTGGGTGTTTGGTGGGGATTAAAATTAGATTTTTAGTAGATTGTGATAGAAGTTTTTGAAATGTGTGGTTGAAAAGTTGTGGGACCCACAAAAGATTTAATTAATATTGATTGTTTGACTTTGACTTAAATTAAAATCTGATTTTAATAAAAAACAAACAAGGCCTTAATATGATCTATCCAACAAGTCCAATATCGATATATCAAATCCCGCTCTATCAAAATCTAATTATTTGATCCAAAAATAATAAGAATATAAAACATATTTCACTTTAATCCCTCAACTTTCAAAATATAAAAATATAACATATAGAACAAATAATTTTTTTATTCTATAAAATTTTCGGGGCATTACATGTAGCAATGTGGGGGAAGTCTCTGATTTTCATATCTTCTATGCTAATTGGAGCACGTTGGTACTTGAGAGACGGAAGAAGATCAAACATCAAACAAATNATAATTGGGACGGAGGGAGTACTATTTTGTTTTGTTTATTTTTATTCTTTTAAATGTTCAAATACTTTACTCGTTCTTTACGTTTTTTTTTTAATAATTCATGAAAAAAAAAAAATCACGAATGATTTTTTAGTTAGTAATATTAAAAACATTAAATAGTTTAAATTTAATAAATAAAATTTCATCAATAAAAATACTAACCAAAAAAAAAAAAAATATACTAACCAAAGTTTTGCTCCATTTTTTTATTTTTGTTATTGTTCTCGAAAATGCCTCTTGATAATGTTGCCTATGGTTCCCAGATTGCTTGATCCAAAAATGTCCAAATTCATGCTTGTCAATTAAAACTTGTCTAATTTTGATAACCATTGCAAAAAGGGCCAAATTTAACACCAAAATGTTTATTATACCCTTAATGAAGGAAAAACAAATAAAAAAAATATTTTTTATTTGGGTTCGTCGCGCATCTCGAGGCAATACATTTTATTCCATGAGAAGCTAAAATGATGTGCAAGTTATTATCGGTGCTTTCGTTTTTGCATTATCTAGTAGGTTATGAATGGCCAATTGAAGGTTGGGAAAAAAGGAAGATGACGCCAAATATGGTTTGACATTATTGCATTGTGAAAAATCTACACACTAACAAAGATGAAAATCAAACAATTTCAATTGGAAAAATAATAAAATGAATTTGCAAGTTGATTCTACTGTTCACAAATTTCGGTAGGAGGTAATATTTCAATAGAAGTCAAACATGATTTCGAATTTATTCCCTACATTTCATCAAATTCTTGACATTTGAAAATTATTGCTCGATATTTGGTATATGATAATCTCAACACTTGATATTGAATAATGCTATTTGCAGTCGCTCACTGCAACAGTCGTTCTATGTGGCACACACATGTCAAGTGTGTTTCTAATGCATTAATATGGTAAAAAAAAAAACTATCACATTAATGTATCAAATAACTACATGTCATGTATGTACCACATAGTACGACTGCTGCAGTGAGCGACTATGAATAACATTACTCCTTAATATTTCATCTTTCAGGAACGAGGTTCGGTTGGTTGGTTATCATTTATTTTCTACATTTCATGACGTTCTTGACCTTCACAAGTAAAAATGAATTCCGTCCAGAATTTCTGGAGTATTAAAATACTCTCGACTCTAAAAACATTTGAAAACCAAAATTTGAAAATTCCAATGACTGATTGAAAGAAGACACGAGTTTCAACCTAAATTTCATGCATGCAGCTCCAAATCTAGCCATATGTAGGAAACATATTTGCACTAGATTTTAAGCACATCTCGACATCACTCTCCTTTACATATATTAATGTTTGGCCCTCATTTTTTTAAAAATTCATTTTCAATCACACGTTCTTCCAAAAATAATTTTACACATAAATTCAAAATTTTTTTTTAATCACATATTCTCCAACGAAATGCTATTTCAAAATGTATTTTGGCCCAAACTGCAGAAAATGAACGCTTTGGTTCATCAACTTATAACACAATCCTAACTTGAACTTTTTGATTAATAGAAAGTCCAAATTACAAAGATTAACATACATTAACTTTTGAAATATAACAATTTGTTGTGAGACGAGAGATAAAAAAAGGAGCCAGTCATGATTTCTTAGGGTTAGTGGCCAGAATTTTAGACAATTTACTACCCAAACAGAGTTTTTAGGTTTTGTATTTCTTTATCCCTGAAAATTTTAAAAATAAAAAATTATACAAAATGTTGGTTCCATTCGATTACTCATGCTTCGGGTTTAGGAACCAAGAATCAACCCGAACCCAATAGGTTCTGGGTTGTTGATTTTGGTTCTCAATTTGTCTTTTTGGGAATCTGACATTAACCTTCGATTTCGGTTCAGGAGGTTCAGTTTTCGATAAAAATATCCAGAATAGGCCCATGTATCACATCTCATCAATGCTAAAGAAAAATAACAAAATCGGATTCAATACACAAAATGCTTTACTAATACCCTACGATTCAAGTATTATCCTACCAAAAAATAACAAAACTGGATTAAATACAGAAGCATGAACACTAATGATATCAGTGTAGCAACTCGCTCTTCCTCCGAAACCTGATACCAATTGGAGCTCATCATGTATAAAGACATAACAACGTAGTCTTGTTCAAGTTAGATCAAGCATTGATCAAGAATCGCATAACCTGAAAATGTCAAGAAATGCAAGGGAAGCACTGCGATGTCTAGTTTATGGATTGTTGGTTTGTGTGTTGAATAGCGGGTTAAGAAATTGATTTTTCAATATATTTTTTGGGGGAAAATGTGTTTACAAAAATGCACTTAATCCATGTTAGTTGCAACATTGGGATTTGGCATCCACTAATTACAAAAGCGTGCCACATAAGCAATTTCTTTAGCCACGTCAACAATTCCGTCAATTTTTTAAATGATAGTTGAGTTGGTGATGGATGAGATTACATATTACAAAATTCAGTGATTAGCGGAAAAAACTTTTAAACTTTAGCGACCCAATGAAAACTTTATGCAAAGTTCAGTCTTCATTCTGATTTTTAACTCCCGGAGTTGCAATGTAATTTGGAAATGCAACAGATAATGTTGAGCACAAGGGAGCATAAACCATCAAGTAAAATGGCATTGTTTAAAGCCGAACTAACTTCATTTCTTTGTCCACTCACAGCAAAATCTCATTTGAATAACCCAACATTAAATTGCTTAAAATGATCACTTGACTTTCAGTTGATATCATCACTGGTCACCATAAAATTAATTCACATGGACATATTTTAATTAATAGACTTTCAAAATAATCAACACTTCTTCTAAAGCATAAAAGAACCAAGCCGAACATGACCAAACCAATCAATTTTGGTCTAATTTTAATCTATAACTCAAAGTGTAAACCCGTGAAGTCAAAGACAATAAACTTAACGTCAATTTGAAGTCTAGAAAAAAAAACTTAAGTAGAGAACAAAGAAAGA